GCAGGGAGCACACAACGCCCTTGTTGTTCCAGCTCCACTGGCTGCCGATCTGCTACCGGGCCCAATTTAAGGTGCTGGTGTTGGCCTACAAAGCCCTAAACGGTTCCGGCCCAAAATACCTTTCTGACCGCATCTCGGCCTATGAGCCCATGAGGGCCTTGAGATCATCTGGGGAGGCCCTTCTCTCGATCCCGCCTGCCTCACAGGCACGTCTGGCGGGGACGAGAGATAGGGCCTTCTCGGTGGTGGCCCCCCGGCGGATGATTTAGAGTAATTATATTATTGTTGTATTATTGAGAGTTTTGTTGATATTTCGTTGTGTTATTGCTTTATTGTACTGTTTTTATATGTTGTACACCGCCGTGAGTCGCCCTAGGGCTGAGAACGGCGGTCAACAAATACAGTAAATAAAATAAATGCGGCAGGAGGAGCAATTGGTAGCTATGAGCACTTTAAGGGGAGAGGGGAATCAACTTTAAAACCTGTATTGACTTATCCACAGGTCAGTGTAAATACTGTGCCTCAATTTTAATAAAAAGGGAGAAGTATCACGTTCTCTGAGTAGAGAGGCAAAAGTTTTGGTCCATCCTGGGAGAATCGAAAAGAACTGAGGCCCCATCTACACTGCCATATAATCCTGTTTCTGAATCCAAATTATCTGCTTTGAACTGAATTATATGGAAATGTAGGCTCGGAAAGTGCTGAGAGTGCCTTGGACTGCGAGAAGATCCAACCAGTCCATCCTCCAGGAAATAAAGCCCGACTGCTCATTGGAGGGAAGGATACTAGAGACAAAGTTGAAGTACTTTGGCCACATCATGAGAAGACAGCAAAGCCTAGAGAAGACAATTATGCTGGGGAAAGTGGAAGGCAAAAGGAAGAGGGGCCGACCAAGGACAAGATGGATGGATGGCATCCTTGAAGTGACTGGACTGACCTTGAAGGAGCTGGGGGTGGTGACGGCCGACAGGGAGCTCTGGCGTGGACTGGTCCATGAGGTCACAAAGAGTCGGAGACGACTGAACGACTGAACAACAACAACAACAATAATCGAGTTCAAAGCAGATAGTCTGGATTCAGAAACTAGATTATATGGCAATGTAGATTAAATCTGATTCCCTCTATTCTCTCTGCCACTGTGCCACTTTTGGCCTTTTTGAGTGCCTAGACATGGAAATGGTGGCAGTGGCCAAAGGCAGCTGGTCCCCTAAGTTGGCACTGGTACTTTCTCATCTCCATAGAACGATCCTTGACTTTTCTGAGCGGCAGAGGCAGTCATAGGGTGAAAACTCTATTTTAAAACTCCTGCCTGGGGCCAGCCTCACCAAACAGATGGGGTGTTGCCCCCACAGCCGTGCAATCTCACCTGAAACCACCAGCAGATAAAAAGCCATCACTGGTCCCTGAGCCTGCTTTGCTTTTCCCTCTTTTCCAACTGAGAGATTCCTGCCTGTGCTACTGTGGGGCTTTTGCCATCTGTTTCTTTTGAACTGTTGGAGCTTGCCGCTAGGCCATCTACCAACCAGCGCTCTGGCTGCTATGGGGAGTCCCCCGCCTCACCACTGATCTATTTATAACTGACTCAGACCCTTGGCCTTGGGTACAACCCACTCATAATATTACAACTAAAAAAACAGGTGTTCCAAGACCTTTTTTTTAAAACCAACTAGAAATGTGCTGTTATCTTCAGGGGGGAAAAACCCTCTCCCCTTTCCCAAGGAGTTCATTCCATATTTACCATCCTCCATGAAGGCCCAAGACAATACTACCTTACCTAACCTGTACCCAAGGAACCTTGCAATCTGAGGGGACGGATAGATTGGGGAGGGTGTAAAGAAGAGCTGGGACATCACGGGAGGGAGATGAAGGTTGGGGGCGAGGGGAGGAGAGGGGCCTGTGTTATTAATTTACTACAGTAATAATATCTACTATAACGGTCTATTATTAGTTGTAGAACCACTGGCCAATTGTGAACTGTGCAACAGAAAAGAGTTATTCCAGCAATTAGTTTTATTGAATTGCATTTATATGTTTTAGTTGTTTTATAACTGGTAATGTTATGTTTATTATTGGTATGTAGAATGTGGCACTGAATTATGCTATAATCTGTAAACCGTTCTTGAGTCCCCTTTGGGGTGAGTAGAGCGGGGTATAAATATAGTAAATAATAATAATAATCCACGGGCCTTGACTTATAAATGAGGATAGATGGTATGAACCCATTGTTTTAATATGTATTGATAGTGTATGTTCTTTTACATCAATTCTTTAACTGATTTCTGTGTTTTACAAATGGCAGGATATGTCATGTTTCAATACATAGATCGTCATCATTGTCACCAAACCATGACATCCAGAGCCGTAATCCAACACTCCAACACACAGGCTCTCAATTCAGATGATCTATAACAGGCATGGACACACTTTGGCCCTCTGGGTGTATTGGACTTCAATTTCCACAATTCCTAACAGCTTCAGGCCCCTTTCTTTTCCTCCTCAGACACTTAAGCAGTTGGGAGGGGAAAGAAAAGGGCCTGAGGTTGTTAGGAATTGTGGGAGTTAAACAAGTCCAAAACACCCAAAAGGTCAATGTTTGCCCATGCCTGATCTATAACCACAGGGTTTTCTTGGTCAGATTTGTTCAAAGGAGATGTGCCTTTGCTTTCCTCTGAGGCTGAGAATGTGTGACCTTTCCCAGTGGGTTTCCATGGATGAATGGGGATTCAAAGCCTGTTGTCCAACGTTGTCTTGTTGGATACCATCCATCCACCTTGCCCTTCGTCTGCCCCTCTTCCTTTTTCCTTTCATTTTCCCCAGCACAACTGCCTTCTCCAGGCTTTCCTGTCTTCTCACGATGTTGCCAAAGTACTTCATCTTTGCCTCTAAAATCCTTCCCTCCAGTGAGCAGTCGGGCTTCATGTCCTGGAGTATGAACTGGTTCGATCTTCTTGCGGTCTAAGGCACTCTCAGAATTTTCCTCCAGCACCACAGTTCAAAGCATCTATCTTCCTTCGTGAATCTTCATTGCCAGTGTGATGTCTCTACTCTTCACTATTTTATCTAGAATGGTCATTACTTTCCTCCCAATAAGTAAATGTCTTCTTATTTCCTGGCTGTAGTCTGCGTCTGAAGTTATCTTTCAGCCTAGAAATACAACGTCTGTCACTGTCTCCATGTTTTCTCCCTCTAGGTAAAGGTTTTCCCCTGTCATTAAGTCCAGTTGTGTCCAACTCTAGGGGTTGGTGCTCATCTCCATTTCTAAGCCAAAGACCCAGCGTTGTCCGTAGACACCTCCAAGGTCATGTGGCCAGCATGACTGCATGGAGCACCGTTACCTTCCCACCAGAGTAGTACCTATTGATCTACTCACATTTGCATGTTTTCAAACTGCTCTGATGGCAGAAGATGGGGCTGAGAGCGGAAGCTCACGCCGCTCCTCGGATTCGAACCTGTGACCTGTTGGTCAACAAGCTCAGCAGCTCAGCGCTTTAATCCACTGCACCACCAGGGGCTCCATCTATTTGCCAATTATCAATCAGTCTGGTTGCCATAGTCTTGGTTTTTTAAATGTTTAAATGCAACTCAGCCTTTGCACTTTCTTCTTTTTTACCTTGGTTAGAAGGCTCCTCAGCTCCTCCTTGCTTTTGGCTGGCAAAGTGGTATCATCTGCATATCTAAGTGGTATCATCTGCACATCTGCCTTGGATTCGTCAAACCCTGCAAGTCGAATTATGTGTTCTACATACAAGTTGAATAGGTTTTTGTTTTTGTTTTTGTCGTGTCAAGAGCGACTTGAGAAACTGCAAGTCGCTTCTGGTGTGAGAGAATTGGCTGTCTGCAAGGACGTTGCCCAGGGGAAGCCCGGATGATTTGATGTTTTATCATCCTTGTGGGAGGCTTCTCTCATGTCCCCGCATGAGGAGCTGGAGCTGATAGAGGGAGCTCATCCGCCTCTCCCCGGATTCGAACCTGCGACCTGTCGGTCTTCAGTCCTGCCGGCACAGGGTTTTAATCCGCTGCGCCACCGGGTGAGACTATTCAGCCCTGTCATATTCCTCTCCCAATCTTGAACCAGTTGGTTGTTCCGTGGTCTATTCTTACTGTTGCTACTTGGTCTTTATACAGATTCATAGAATCATAGAGTTGGAAGAGACCTCCTGGGCCATCCTGTACAACCCCCTGACAAGAAGCAGGAAAATTGCATCAAAAGCATCCCTGACAGATGGCCATCCAGCCTCTGTTTAAAAGCTTCCAAGGAAGAAGCCTCCACCACACTCTGAGGCAGAGAGTTCCACTGCTGAACAGCTCTCAGTTAGGAAATCCTTCCTAATGTTCAGATGGAACCATTTGAAGCCATTGTTCTGCGTCCTATTCTCCAGGGCAGCAGAAAACAAGCTTGCTCTCTCCTTCGTATGACTTCCTCTCACATATTTATATATGGCCCTCATTACGTCTCCTCTCAACCTTCTCTTCTTCAGGCTAAACATGCCCAGCTCTTTAAGCCGCTCCTCATAGGGCGTGTTCTCCAGACCCTTGATGATTTTAGTCGCCCTCCACTGGACACATTCCAGCTTGTCAATATCTTCAATTCCTTAGGAGACAGAGAAGCTGGCTTGGTCTCCCCATACCACCAAGAACTTGCCACAATGTATTATGTATCCACACAATCAAAGCGTTGTAGTTTACCATTCACACCTTTCCTAGAAGAACCAGCCATAAAAAGGGAAAGGTTAAAATGGCCTACTCCACCTCATTTACCACTCTACCTGAAGGTCAACCTGTCTAGGCCAGGTCGTCAGGTCCTTCCACTCTAGACAGTGGCAAGACTCACGCATGCGCACAATCTTTCACACCGGGGATGAGCTTGGTGTACTTTCTCGTTCTCGGGTTCCTTTGAGAGAATTGGGCCTCGTGGGGACCCATAGCGAACTCCCCCCTCTCTCTCTTCCCCAATATGTAGGAAGGTCAAGTCCCTCCCCGTGGAGAGGCTGCAATGTTACCTGCGGGGTGTAGGCCGCGGAAGCCCCGGCCCCGACCAGCCTCTGCGTGAAGCCGCTGAACTTGTAATACATGACGGCGCCCTCCGCGCGTGCAGCCTCGCCAGCGAGCAGGAAGCCGGTGGCGGCGGCTCTTGAGGGGAAAGGACCCTTCTTGGGGGAAAGGACCCTTGAGGCGTCTAGGAAGGGCCTGAGAGATTATTGCTCCAAAATGAAAACAAAAAGGGCGCTAAAAGCATGAACTAACAAGTTTTAGAAGCCACTATTTATACTTTGTGGATTTTTTGTGGTAATTTTCTCTGCCGATTTCGGGGAAAATGAAATACATTTTTACTCAGGCAATGATTTAGTCGGACGCGGAGAAACCTACTGCGCCTGCGCACTTCCTGGCCTCTATGGGCATAGAGGTAGGAAAAGAAGGAGATCAGATACTCTTTGGATGATACTCTATTACTGTGTTTCTAAGCCAAACATACGAAAACACAGTATTTTCTGTTGGTCGTGGGGGTTCTGTGTGGGAAGTTTGGCTCAATTCTATCATTGGAATGCTCTTTGATTGTAGGTGAACTATAAATCCCAGCAACTACAACTCCCAAAGGTCAAGGTCTAATTTCCCCCAAAGTTCATCTGTGTTCACATTTGGGTATATTGAGTATTCGTGCCAAGTTTGATCCAGATCCATCACTGTTTGAGTCCACAGTGCTCTCTAATGTAGGTGAACTATAACTCCAAAACTCAAGGTCAGTGCTCACCAAACCCTTCCAGTATTTTCTGTTGGTCGTGGGAGTTCTGTGTGCCAAGTTTGGTACAATTCCTTCGTTGATGGAGTTCAGAATGCTCTGATTGTAGGTGAACTATAAATCCTAGCAACTACAACTCCCAAATGTCACTGTCCATTTCCCCCAAACTCCACCAGTGTTCACATTTGGGCATACTGAGTATTCGTGCCAAGTTTGATCCAGATCCATCACTGTTTGAGTTCACAGTGCTCTCTGGATGTAGGTGAACTACAACTCCAAAAATCAAGGTCAATGCACACCAAACCCTTCCAGTATGTTGGTCATGGGAGTTCTCTGTGCTAAATTTGGTTCAGTTCCATCGTTGGTGGAGTTCAGAATGCTCTTTGATTGTAGGTGAACTATAAATCCCAGCAACTTCAACTCCCAAAGGTCAAGGTCTAATTTCCCCCAAACTTCATCTGTGTTCACATTTGGGTATATTGAGTATTCATGCCAAGTTTGGTCCAGATCCATCATTGTTTGAGTTCACAGTGCTCTCTGGATGTAGGTTAAAATGTAGGTGAACGACAACTCCAAAACTCAAGGTTAGTGCCCACCAAACCCTTCTAGTGTTTTCTGTTGGTTGTGGGAGGTTTGTGTGCCAAGTTTGGTTCAGTTCCATCGTTGGTGGAGTTCAGAATGCTCTTTGATTGTAGGTGAACTATAAATCCCAGCAACTACAACTCCCAAATGTCAAATTCAATTCCCACCACAAAACTCCACCAGTATTCAAATTTAGGCGTATCGGGTATTTGTGCCAAATTTGATCCAGTGAATGAAAATACATCCTGCCTATCAGATATTTACATTATGATTCATGACAGTAGCAAAATAACGGTTATGAAGTAGCAATGAAAATAATGTTATGGTTAGGGGTCACCACAACATAAATACATACTAAAACACACATTTATTTATTTAATTCAATTGTATACCCCTTTTTTTCACCCAGGGGTGGGGTGGGGTACGGGACTTTTGAGTTTCCAACATATATAGGGCAAAATTCAACACCTCACATATATAAAAACCTAACGTAAAATAATAATAACATACAGCTATCACAAAACAGAGATCAAACAAAGGATACTTAAAATTCGTGTTTAAGAGTGTCTGGGTAGGCCTGCCAAAAGAGATAGATCTTCACATAGTTTTACAATTCTGACAGCTCATTTAGCTGTCGAGTTCTTCTGGCAGGTTGTTCCACAGTCATGGGGCGGCTGATGAAAAGGTCCTCTGGGTGGTAGCTGCCAGTCGGGTTCTGGTTGGTTGGAGAAGGTGCCCCTCAGAGGACCTTCATGTGTGTGGCAGGGTGTATGGGAGACCTGCATACAAACCATGTAGGGCTTCAAAGGGCAAAACCAACACTTTGTACTTTGCTTGGAAATGAATTACTATGGAATTCTGGGGTTTGAGTTGTTACAGTATCTTTAAACATTTCTTTCAAAGTGCCCACCAAACTACAAATCTGAGGATTTGCATAACATTGAGCCAAAACTGTTAAAGTGGAGTCAAGGTGCATTTATTCTACAGTGTAGATCAGGCATGGACAAACTTCAACTCTCCAGGTGTTTTGGACCTCAATGCCTACAATCCCTAACAGCTGGTAGGATGTTAGGAATTGTGGGTGTTGAAGTCCAAAATACCTAAAGGACTGAAGTTTGCCCATGCCTGCTGTAGATGCATCCTTAGGCTGTAGCCACACTGCAGAATTATAATAGTTTGATACCACTTTAACTGCCATGGCTCCATGCTATGGATTTTAGAGATTTATTGTTTTTGTGATATTTAGCCTTCTCTGTCAGAGAGCTTTAATGTCACAACAAACAACAAATCCCAGAATTTTATAGCATTGCACTTAAAGTGTCAAATTGCTATATTCTACAGTGGATATACCCAGGCCCGTAGCCAGGATTTCGTTTCGGGGGGGGGGGGGTGAATTTTTTTCAAGGGGGTTTTTGGGGGGGCGGGGGGGGGCTGAGTCTGAGTGAAAGAGGGTCTACCTAGCAAACCTTTTGTATCATTACCCCAATACCCCCATGCATATGGGATATATTGAGTATGGTGATCTGATCATGATATGAATAAACATAACAGTTTAAATAATGCACCAGTAAGGCCTTTTCGCGAACCACCATGAGAATTTTGGGGGGGGATGAAGCCCCCAAGCCCCCCCCCCCCCCAGCTACATGCTTGGATATACCCAATACAGAAGTAAAAAGTGGCATTTGAAGATGAAAAATCTAGAGATTTGGACATGTCATCCATGGAAGGTGGGTCTTTTATAACATTTATCTGGTAATGTGGGTAAACCTTTTGAGTTCGGAAAGAAGCAAGAAATTGAAATTATGCAGAAGTGAAAGTGAAATAACTATAGCTGTTAAAACGGCAGCACAAAATGAAACCAATGGGTAATACAACATTTTATAAGATAGAGAAGAAATTAAAGTTATTCAAAGCAAAAAAAAAAGTAATTTTTTTTCTCTTTCTTGGTCTGGAAGATTTTCCCTTAAGGGCCCTTCCATACTGCTCCTATATCCCAGGATCTGATACCAGAATATCTGTTTATCCCAGGTTATCTGGCAGTGGGGACTCATATATTCCAGTTTAAAGCAGATAATCTGGGATCAGATCCTAGGATAGAGAGCAGTGTGGAAGGGCCCTACGTGATTAGCAATTCCGGTTATTGGAACAAATTAACACCACCTTCCTAACTGTTTGTGTTGCATTATGCTGCAGTCACCAAATGAGAAACCAAATGCTGTCAACATAGCATTGAGACAGTAGGATAAGCAGCTCATTCTAAGCATATATTATGTAATATGCTATCAAGTGAGTGGGATAAGTATAGAATATTACAAAACCTAATACAATCTAAGGAACCAAAAAGGGTTAGAAGCCTAAATCTGTGCATCCCACTAATACATAGGATTACAGTTTAGATCTAGCGCTATAACTCATCCCCAACCCCCACTCTAAAGGAAGTGGCATATTACAGACACTGCTTGAGAATTTACTCCTTGTGCAATTCTCTACCGGTCTTTCTTAAAGGTACTAAGAACTGAATCCAAGTTATACATGGAAATTATCCAAATATTCCCCCTTTCCCATTCATGAGGCAATGCTCATATCACTGTGCAGATACCTATTTGTAATTCATCTTATTTATTTATGTATGTATATCAGCTTTAGTCCAGGATCTAATTTCCCGGAGAATGCGTTACTGATTAATACAATGAACCCTCCCTGAATCCCCTGAATTTTAATAATTACTGACCAGTGTCTCATCCTCCTTTTTAAAAGGAAAGATGATCAAGGGAGCAGTTACCTCCCAACTCCAGACAGTCTTGGATGACACACGTTTCCTTGGTCCATTTCAAGCTGCTTCCAAGCAGGATACAGAGTTGAGACTGCTATGGTCGGCTTAGGCCCCTTCTACATTGTCATATAATCCAGGTTTTCAAAGCAGATAATCCAGATTATCTGATTTGAACTGAATTATATGACTCTACACTACCATATAATCCAGTTTAAAGCAGATAATCTGGATTTTATATGGTAGTGTAGAATGGACCTCAGTTGATACTCTCCATCTTAACATTGACAAGGAGTGTATGAATACTTTTTTAACCTTCAAAATGTTCTTTTATTCCATTTCCAATGAGACAGAGTATAACAGGCACTTAATAGAGAAAGCATGTAGACCAGGCATGGGCAAACTTCGGCCCTCCAGGGGTTTTGGACTCTTAACTCCCACAATTATTAACAGCCAGTAGGAATGTGGGAGTTGGAGTCCAAAACACCTGGAGGGCCGAAGTTTTCCCATGCCTGATGTAGACACACAGACTATCGCTACATTGGTTTTACAAACAAAGGGGATGTTATATATTACTCAGCATTCACTCACACATAAACATTTATTCTCCATGCATACATACCATCCCTTCTTCCTTCTCCTGGAGAAGAGACCCAGATTGCATTCTCCACAAATCTGCCATTCTGTAGATATATCATCCTTCTCCGTCCCTTGGAGAAAGAGGCGGCGGATGATCAGACTCTGCATTCCTGCAAATCTGACACACCTTTTCCAATAGAAAAGTGTATCTTTGTAGAGTAAATTTCTTGCTGGTGTTGTTGTCTTTGTAAATCGCTGACAAGTTGTTTTCCAGATAAAACTTGCTGACTCCATCAGTTCCAGACAGATGTTTTTCTTCCTTAAATAAGGGACCATTCCTTAACTTAAAAATCATTGTCTGTGACTATGTAAACATGTTGTTTTCAACCAAGAGTTAATCATTGTCACTGGTCATGTCAGCAGTTCAGCAGCAACTTTTTAATCACAGTCAATCGGTCCATGAATTCTTAAATTCCTTTTGCAGT